CTCTTACAAAAAGTTGAACTGAATTGTTCAATCATAATCTGATAATCTGATCCAACACATTCCCAGTTTTCAAATACCAAAATTGAACAACGCCATTCTTATACACTTTGTAACTTCCCTGTGGTGCTGGTAAGACCTCCAAAATGACTCACAATAGCATGGGTTATACATAAAAAATAGCACATGAACTTTTATAGGTGTAAGTTTTTCCAGAGAAAAGTCTGGACAGAGAGCGATAAATACATTTTTGTACATCAGTAATACTGCTTGTTTTATATTGGCTTACTTCTGCTTGGGTGACATTTAACACTTAAACTATTCAACCCTTTATCTGAGTTAGAAAACATTGAGAGTTTCTACTTTTGAAAAGATTCTGCACTTTTCAACACTCATGATTCTGCATTTATTAATATTGTCGTCCCAGTTTGATTCTAAACAGTTTAAAAAGTAAATTTACAACAGTAACACTGCAGGGCAAGGGACAGCTGTTTTTTCAGGAGACGTCCCAGTCATTAATGTTGCACAAAAAGTTGTCCATTGCTTCTGTTCTTAATCCTGTGTAGTGTATAGTTGGAGAAAAAAATATGCAGAATCTAAAATGTGTAATGTCATAAAAAGATTAGTATTTGATCATGTCTACAATGTGTTTAGTGATATTGGCAGAAGGACAGATTGTTACTGTCTTCTTCAGTTAGCTGATGCAATGTCAACAATATTTTCTAGTCCAAGTAGTTTAAGTTGGTAAAATGTATCAAAACCTTAACCATTAATGTGTCATACAACAAAATACAATCATTAAGTTTGTTTTAAACTGTTCCCATCAAAAACAAGCACTCTGTGTCACCCTGAAGTGTCTCTCACAGAAGCACAAGGTACCCTTTAACATCTGTTCACTGCCCCCCCCTTCTTTTCTTTTCTTTTTTTTATCAAAAGGCCTTCCTAACAAACATTTTCTTACTCATGTTGACCATTCTCTTTCTCTCTCACAATTTAAAGCGCACAGAGTAGCAGACTTTCTCAATTCGAAGAGCAGATGCACTTTTCATTGGATTTCGTTCCTTGTCAATAAGATTCATGTGACTTGAACTTTTTGACATTTGGTTGATGTTTTAAAAAGTTGCAGTTTGCTGAGGTATGGGCACTAAAACTGCGTAGTTAAGTTAAGTTACTGATCATGTCGCAGGTTAAGTTTGAGTTTTGGTTTTGCAGTACTAGAAAAAAAAAATCCTCCCTATGCAAACTTTGACATTTTACTATTTCACAAGACTTCCTACTTACTGGACAGCCAGTCAGGAGCTGGTCTTTCTCTTCACAAGGACATCAAAGCCCTTTGACGGTAAAAACTACATAATTGGGTTTAATGGAAAAAGACTGAGTATTGAAGAATTAAAATATGAGAGTCTCACACTGTTGAAGCTTCGGTTTTGTTAGGACACCTAGGACTGTCTTTAAGTGTGGGCCTTCTTAATATATTTAGAAGGCAAATATTAATTTCTTTATTTCCACACTAAAAAAACTTTCATCTACACTTTAAATGGTCATTTCATTTAATTATTCAGAGTGACTTTTCGAGAGTGCAACAGTGATATGAGCTTTGATTACCATATCACTGAAGACTACAGGAAATCAAAAGCAAAGACAGCAAGAGTCGCTGCGTTTGTGCAATTATAATAATCTTTGGTTTTCGACAACGCTTAAACAGTTTTCAAGATTTTTTTCTGTTGCATGCAGAACCTATGACTAAACTGTAAAGATTACAGGCATATTGGTACCCACAATACTTCCAAAAACAAGACAGAAGTACACAGCTTTACACTGTGTGAGTTCAACAGCGAGTAAGTTCCTTTGACTCCACTAAGCCTCTCTGGCAGACCAGCCATGCTATGTGAAGGAAAACTCCTACCTAAATGGGCCTACGATTTTACTTACCACCCAGTGTGGTATTACAGCAAATGCAAGGGTTTTTATCAGTGGGCCATTGGCTCAATTACTACAGTATGGTGCTCTCTCAAACTGTGATAATGACTAAAATGTTGAAGATTAAACATTTTAAGTGTACAATGCTCTCATACCAAATATTCAATCTATTCCTCCAAAATGAAGACTTGAATTCGGCATATGTTATCATGACTGAAGTTAGAGAAGTTAGGTTCAGTGACTTGAATTAGCTATGTTAATGATCAGCCAACAGCCAAAGCCACTTGTAACTCAAATTGACTGCAGCCCTAATTATGCATAACTTTAGGCTTAATGTAATCAAAAAACAGTTATGTTTTAGAAATGCACCTCCTCATACAGTTGTCATGCATAGCAAACTTTGCCATGGAGACCAAAGTCGTTTATATGTAACCAGGCTGTAAACATGTTTATTTCTGCTGTAAAAATTGCATTTTAATTGGGGCCTGATGGGAATCGACTCACTTATGACTCACATTTTTTTTCCACTGGCAAGTTGCTGCTTGAAGAAAAAAAACACAAATGCAGCTACAACTGTTTCTGCAGTAAAAGCTGTTAACTTTATAAGTGTTTTCATCTGGAAAAAGTTTAGTACGTTCAAAATGAAAAGTGTCTTTTAGGTTTAGCTCTGACACTGGGGATTTCTGTTTCAGTGGTCACAATGGTGTAAGGGAGCATCAACTGATCTATGTCTTCTTTCTGTTCGGGGTTATTTATCTGAATAGGTTCTTCGTTGGCAATAGCGTTGCTTCCATCTTCTCTGATCAGGTGTTCTTAAAAACTTTAGAAACCCAACAACAACAACGTATGCAGGCCATGATTTAACATTAACTCAGAAATATCTTCAAAGCTCTGGTGAACTATTTTCAAACTAAACTTGTTTAAAACTTTCACAGTCTTTCTTCAATGAAAATTCTGAATCTGGTTTTCATTCCCTCTTGGTCCTGTTCCCCAATCATCTCCATGCTCCACCCCACAGCCTCCATCCACCAGCTGTCAGACAGGCGTGCAGGCCTCAGCAGAGACAGACAGACAGATGGATGGAAAGCAAAAGGGAGGAGGCAAGGGATGGGTGGAAGGAAGGAGGAGAGGGAGAGGTGTGACCCATATAGAAGAGCCTGGAGTATTTATAGAAGTCAGTGTCCTAATTGGCAAGCCGCTGGGAGAGCAACAGCACTGCACTGGTACCCTACTCCTTGTCCTTCACCTCCTCAACCCTTCTTTCTCCTTGCCTGTCACCTTTTCCTTACCACCGTGTCCTCTATCACCTCCCAGTAGGCTATTTGTCTTCTTTAAGACTTTGTTGCTGTTTCTAATGCATTTGTTTCCTCCTCTTCCACATCAGTGACCTGCTCAGATTTCAACTTCCACCTATTACCATCCCTCCTCTTCTCAGTCTGCTCCACGCACTGCCTTTCTTGTTTCTCCTCTTCAGCTTTTTCGGGCCTCTTTTATTTGTCCTCTCTCTTTCATCCCCAACATCTCATCCTCGCCCTCTTGTCTTATTTCATCCATCTTTTGGCTGTGGCCGTTGGCTATTGTGTCTGTTTTCCTTCTAGCCGAATCAGGTATTATAAGATTACCAACGACAGTCAGAAATAGCAAAGATACAAGGTTTCAGAGGACTCTCTAGTTTAACATTATGTACTCTTTTTGTTTCAGAAGTGAAGCAAACGTTTTTTTTAAGTTCCAATGAACAGTAAATAGGACTGGTATGTAATAAGCAGGGGATGTATTGGGTGTGGCTACTTTGATTGCCAGGCAACCAGGATAGACATATCCATCCTGCTGTCTAAATATGTCCACATTTGGCCCTTAAACCTGAAATAGTTAGGGCAGAAATGCTAAATTCATACTTCATAAGGCGATACCGCATGGCCATTAGGCGAACTGCACCAGTAACCTGTTGCTCGCTCTTTCTCGTGTACTCATCATATGTGCTCATACGTACACAAACGAGCATCATCATCAGCCGCGAAACACTTGATATTTACCGGCATAATGTTTACAGAGGAGGTAAGTGGTAATACACATGTGAAAGTCTGTGAAGGAGTCTGTATGTCTGTATTCATTCTCCATCCTACAAACAACAGTCTCGACAGGCACTGGCTGAGAGCAGGAGGGTGTGATGAGTTTGTCCGCCTTTGAGAGCTCCTAGGGCGGATAGAAGTGTGTGGAAGCGGCCTCTGGCTGTGGAGGTGAAGACCGGGAGTGTGTGATGAGTTTGTACTTTGATCTCTGTAAGCGGAGCGGAGTGAGGAGGACGTTGAGAACGCGCAGAAAATGTCACTTCCTGGAGCTTTCGTATCGGAAAATCCGACACAGATAGACAGTGAACATCTACTTTTTCACATCAGTTCGCTTATTAATGGCCGGTAAAAAATGATTTATACATGTAAAAAGTTACATATAGAACCTTTAAATTTCAAGACAAACAAATGTATTTTTTATTTTTTACTGTGAAATACTTTTATTGAATTTAAACTTAGGCATATATCAACGTTTTCAAGATGAGCGTTAATTAATATCTAGAAATATGGTCATACACGCCTTTTCCTCTCATATCTTTGTCTCTGAAACAATAATGTTAACAAGGAAGTGGCTGAAAGCTTACATTGGTCTGGTGGTAGCTAGTAAGTTAGCAAATAAGTTTTTCAACTTGAAAGATGGCCCTATGTATGTCTCTGGATTTTCGGTAGTAGTTTCTTATTATTCAGGAATTGGTAAAATTAGGTTTATATGACTCACAATTATTAACAAAGCAGTAAAACAAAATAACAACATCACAACATAATAACAACATCTGAGCTTCCCAATCTCTGTGACATCACAGGGATATGTCTACTGTATAAATATGTTTCACAGTGGTTTGTGCATGGCCTCATCCATTGATCAGAGTCATTTTAAGAACAAATAAAAGGAAGTAGTGAGGCAAAATGAACCATTTATGAATTATAATAATTAAGAGAAATAACTAGGAAACACATAAACGGTTGAAAATGAACCACACATTTCTGGATGAATGTAGAGAAGGAAAGACTCACGAAGGAAGTACTCTGAAGCGTCCGCCTCATAGTCGGCATCCTCAGGGAAGTGATCTATCTGCTTACACATGCCTTTAAAGGAACCTGCAACAAGTGAAAGGAAGAAAATGGGTGAGAGAGAAGACTCAGAGAAGACTCAGAAGTCAAAGCAGTTAAATGTGTCAACATAGTGCAGAGAAATCCTGCAATGAAATAAGTGTTTTAATGTAATGTGTATGTATGTTTTCTTCTTTGCCTGGTTTAATGTTGACTTCATTGAGTAAAAGAAAGAGCGTGACAGACAAAAGAAAAAATAACACCTGGTTGATCAGGGAGAAGGTATTTCAAGAAAGAAGACCAGAAAAGGGTTCCAAGACATGAGGGGGGAAAGGAGAAGCAAAACTAATGAAAGGTAAAGAAACAAGGAGAAGGGGGTTAGCGTTACATTGAGACAACAAGAAATGAGGAGGAAAAACAAGATTTCTACAAGAGCTTTGAAAGAAACACATCACAGGACAGAAAGTGTCAGACAGAAGAGGAAGACAGGGGGAGTTTAATCTCCACGAGCAGGCGGGAGGGGTGAGGAGGAGGCAGGAGGAGAGACTGATCAAAATGCAAATGAAAGAGAGAAAGAAAGGAGAGCTGATAGTGCCGCTCATTAAGAAGAATTGCGTGTGTGTGTGTGTGTGTGTGTGTGTGTGTGTGTGTGTGTGTGTGTGTGTGGCGTGTGTGTTTAGCTTGGTTCTGCTCCAGTGGTAATTGTATGCCCTCCCAAACCACTGCAATTAAATGGGCCCTTGTTAATTGGCGATTGAAGGACGAAAGACTACCGCCCGGCTTTCAAATGGGCATCAGTTACACACACACACACACACACACACACACACACAAACATACACACTTACGCTTCCCACTGACATGCACACACACAAATACACACCGTGACATACTGTAACATCAGCCCCATTGTCTGTTACACTCATCACAGTGAGAGCACTTGCAGCAAAGTTTGATCATGACCGCAGAGAAAAAGACCAATTTCACACCCAAGCTCTTCACATAAAAGTGAACAAAAAAAAGAAGAAAAGATTTATGACAAGACTCCACTGCAAGTCTGCTTCATATTTACATATCTTTAATACACCTCAGCAACCACTCAGACGAACAAAGTGTTTTTCTTCAGGTAGACTTTGATAGATACATCAAAGATATTTCACGAGGAAGCAGATTGGAAACCTTTCAGCGTGCAGCAAAATGCTTTCATCGTTTAGATAATTTCAGTGAGTAGAGGTGTGTGTTGAAATTGTGCTTTCCTGAGAGGACTGTGATAATCAACAGAACAGCAGTTTTCATGTGAAAATAGCCTCAAAATCTGAACTATTTGTTGTGCAAATTTGAGGGAAGCAAGAGAGTTGAAATGAACCTGTGTAATAGTATGTAGATTAATTTTATGCTATTGTATGTTGCGCTGTACCCTAGAACCTTAAGTGGGGGACCGTTTCACTGAGACTCTTTAAGTTGATGAACAAATGTTTAAGATGGTAAAACAAAGACTTTATCAACTCTCTCATGAAGAGTTATTCACAATAAATTAAGCTCTGAAATCAATGCATTCATTTTTTAAAAATCGTAATTAATCACATGCTATTTTGACCATTAAGGAGCACCGTGGAAAAGTCTCTGCAGTCTCCCAAAAACGACACTCCTGCATCTTTCAATGGCTCATTTAAAAAAAGTAAAAAAAAAAAAATGCTTGATGTCGAAAGTAATTACCAAACTCACTTTTGTAACGTTCCCTTTAGCTGTTTTACTTTAGTTTATGATCCGTAACAAGTTCATCTTTCCGTGGCTAAGTTCATGTTGTAACCTTCGATCTACCAAAGTTCCTTACTCGATTTGAAAATAAAAGCAGGGTTTAATTCAAACAGCATTCCAATCGTTTGGCAGCTCTAGTGATAATTTTAACCTTCATGGCTTTGTTGGACATCTCTATGTGAACTCATTAGACAAGATGTATTTCTGGTGAATCTGCAGTTCAAAGCAACACTAATCACAATGCAAAACACATTCCAATTAAGTTTTTGCCTGAGATCCCCACTAACATCTTTTCAAAGATTATTGAAACTGCAAAACTGGGTCAGAAAATTATTAAATGGGTCCTTTCTCTATTCTTTACCAATTCTAGCACAAATGAGGAAGAATGTTAGTCATTGAGTTCTACTCCTGTTTTGTAGTCACAGTCTTTTGTAATAAGTCATTTAATATGCAGATGAGGTTACTCTTCCGATGGTCTGTCTTCAGATCTCTTCCCAGTTTCAGTGGTTGTTTGTCACTTTAAACAAAAAGAACAAGAACAATCATCTGTATACAAACTAAGCCAGCTGAGAAAACACCTAGAGATGCCATTTCAAGCAAAAATACTATTTGATAATCACTGGGAACAATTCAACAACTATTCAGAGACCACCACATCCCCGTGCATGTAAACACTTGTAGGAGAAAGAGGGACCAGTTACCTTTTTGCACAACTCTGTTGGTTTTATTTTCATGTCAAAGTGTTTACCGCAAAAACCCATCGAACACAGGCCGACAAAGCTTGCCATTGATTGTTGTTCTGTGGACAGAACAACAATCAATGTTGTTGTAGACTTGTGGTATGCTAGCTTGACCTGGCAGAGCTCGCACTTGACACCATATTTTGTAGTTTTGAAGGAGTTCCACACAAAACTCTTCGACGGCTGCAGAAGTTGTTTCCAGCATTTCTCTACAGTGCCAAATCTCACAGCACTAAACCAATTTGACCGCGTATGACACTAAACTATTCTTCTTCGCCATTTAACGATGGTTGGCAAACAGCTTTCAGATGCACTACTGCATTTCAACCCGTCCACAGTAAACAACAATGGGATATTTTTAAGATAAGATAATAATCACATGAACTTTTGAATGTTCTATGAATAAATGAATAAATGACTACATGAACGTTCGTACATCCTAACCCATCCCTATGGCTCGGTACATACATTTTTTACATCCTTGTATGAAAACATAAACAAGATTTGTGTTATTTTCCAAACCGTCTAACTCACATGAAGCCACAGCATTGCAAAACATTCAAAATGGTGTCTGTTGTGGTTGCTATAGGAGATGCACAAGAAGAAGATACAGTGAAAACAATGCGGCACCCTCATTCCCTCCACTTTAGAAATAATAATAAAACCTCTGTGTCAGTGTTTGGTTTTCAATTTTAATATAACGGATGTCAACACATGAAGTCGTCAAACACATCCGTTCACACACTCGCTGATGGACAGAAACTCCCCTCTCTCTTTCATCAATCAGCACTCTGCCTCGCTCCCCTCCAACACATGCCCACCCACGCTGCAGCACAAGCACATGTAATCTGGAATTGCATTTTCCTTCCTCCTCTCTTCTACCTCTCCCTTGCACAACCCTCTCTCTCTCCCCTCTATCCGTCTCTCACATGTGCGGTTACCCTGAGGACCAGATTCCCATTTGAACTGAGCTGGCAGCTCCCCCCACCCCCCCTCCTCTTCCCCTTTCCTCCTGTCTCTCTTTTCTTTATTCCCTCTGCATTTCAAATCAAGAGCATACTTTATTGTCTCGACAGGGATGAAACCTGTGCAGCTTGAGCTGAGCATTATGTCATCATCTGAGATCCACTGATGATATTGACTTTAACAGATGGCCAGAAACCAAAACACTTCAAATGGAATGAATTTCAGCATGCTGTTTTTATTCATTTATGAGCCTCAGAAAGCCTCAGTCATAAGGGTTTTACATACACTGCTAGTTATCAAAGCACCGTGTACCTAAGAACAAATAGTCTTAATGGCCTCTCTTGTCAATCAGTTGCTCGTGTCTGTTTGAATTTTTTAAGAGCATTTTCTTGGTGAAGTTTAACATAACAACCTGTCATTGGAGCTTAACAAAAACAGGTTAATTGCCCGACATAAATGACCTTTGAAGTGGATTAAATGGTTAACGTTTTGGAAAAGATCATGATTTGTGTTACTACTTATAATTAAATAGTTATTATTGAATAATTTTTATATCATGTACTCATGTCCTTTTTGGTTTGTAATCACATCACAAAGGAGGCCAAAAGTTGGCACTGGGGTCTCTCAGCTGTTGTGTTGAGTTTATTCTTCTTTTGTTTTTCATGTCCTTCAAATTTTAGCCAATAAAACTTGAGTATTGAGCAAGCCGAGCAAAAATTATATTAAACTATTCAACGTTACACACAAACAATTTCAAAGAACAATTAAAGAAGTGGACACAAAACGGTCTTTCAACCAAGTTTTCATGTAATTATTGGCGACTTGTAAATTGTTGGTAAAGACAGGTATGACAGACAAAATTGAAAAGGAAACTATCATTCACAATCAAGAGAAACTGTTGATGTTAAATTATTATGCATCGAATATAATTCATCCATCTCTTCTGCAGTGACATCAAATTTTATTATTCACCAAGAACCCATGTCTGAGAGACTCCTCCCTGCCCTCCACCCTCCTCTCTGCTGTCGTCATAATGAGGTGTCGCTCTCCCAAATTGCTCCTGTTGAATTAAACATCCGGCTTCAACCTGGAACAGATACTATTATTCTAAGAACAACTTGCACCTCGGGGGTCAGGACAGTTCCATCACCCACTTATCCTCACAGCGAGAGGGGCCCCTGTGACACTCCGCAGATGAATTATACCAATAATATGAGACCTCAGAGATCCCCTCCTGCTGTCATCAGCCAATCAGAGCCCTGCTTGTCAGCTGACCTCTTGGCTGTTAAGGATAAGTTAATGTAGTGTGATGAAAGACTGGCAGACATCCTGTTATGAAGTATTAACATCCTAACCCACTGCAGAAACTGTGTGTGTGTGTGTGTGTGTGTGTGTGTGTGTGTGTGTGTATGTGTATGTGTATGTGTATGCGTGGGAATGTGTGTGAGAGAGAGAGAGATGTAATGTAAAGTACAAACGCCCTCCTCTGAACCAGCTCTGCGTGTTATGCAAATACTTGGCATAGCCTCTTTATTCTTTATGCTAATTGTGGCTCAGTCTATGTGTTTGCTAAAATGCCAATAA